ATCAGGGCTATGCATTGCATGAGGGTGGACTGTTTGTTCGATGCATTCATCCTAGTTGTAGACGTCTCGAGGATGTTGAAAAAGGTTTTGTTCCTATTATGGAGAATCCTAGGTAGAAGCATTATGGTATTATATTTAGTTCTTTGCAGAATGTTCGGTAGGCCTGCTAAAGCGGCTCTGATCGGAGAGGTGGGGAACGCGCGTATGCTTCTTCTTACTGCTGTGTGGTAAGGCGCTTGAATGCATGCAAGGTGAGATTTTGCGCAGTGACCATATATCGCCGGTCCAAAATCAATTTTTGATAACATCAGTGCTTTTACAATATTTACAAGATTTGAGATATGTATATGATAGTGCTTAGATGATAAATACTTAATAATGTTAAGTCTATATATTAAATTTATTCTAACATATTTACAATGTTCCTTATAAGTTAGTTTTTTTATCAAAAATTATACCAAGTATTAGAAAGGGATAGGATAGGAAAGGTGCATTTATGTTTTCTACAGATGTGGAAGGTTGAGCTTTTGTTAGCTGAGATTTTACATCCCGAGGTTTTTGACCAGTTGGATATGTCATCTAGAGTTCTTATGAAAGTTTCTGTCATTAGTGTAAGGTCTTTGAGAGCGGAAAATATTAGAACGTCRTCRGCGTACATTAAATGCTCAACCGTATCATATTGGGATAATAGGGAGCTGAGTTCATTAAAAGCAATTATAAATAAGGTAACTGAAAGAGGTGAGCCTTGTGGCACGCCGTTGTGCAAGGGKTATATGTTAGAGTTTTGATTATTTACGCTGACAAAAATTTTACGATTCAGGAGGAAGGCTCTAACAAAACTGCAGATTTTGTCTCCAGCGTTCTAATTCTCGTAAAACTATATATGCACCAATTCTGTCGAAAGCCTTTTCAAAATCTAGACTAAGGACGGACAGGTGGTTTCTTGCAGAGAGCGCAGTATTCAAAATACAGAAGTGGGTCGATGACACCGAGGCCTTTTTGAAATGCGAATTGGTTAGASCTTATCAACCCTTTTTTCTTGGCGTACCACATAATTCTCACGGATATAATTTTTTCAAGCACCTTAGATATACGGGGTATTAGGAATATAGGTCTAAAGTTCGGGACGGAAGGGCTGTTTTTGTTAGCTTTAGGGATAGGTATAACAACATTTTTTTTCCAATCTTGAGGAAGGGTGCCTTTATCAAAAATTCTGTTATACAAGGAAAGGAGTCGGAATTTAAGGGTATGAGGAAGGTTTTTAAGGAAGGAGTAGGATATTTTATCCGATCCTGGAGAGCTACCCGACATAGTAGAAATAGTCGAGTCGAATTCGTGAAGTGAGATTGCTGATTCGATTAGGGARGCTGTAGGGCAAGGTGACGGGTTGTGGTAGGTTTTAGGAATAATTACATTACTGAGAGAGTTGAAATCCATGTGGAAATTAGAATTATGAGAAGCATTAGACCATGAACTTGCAAAGTGTTCAGCAATCTCTTTGGGGTCGTAGATAGCGCCTTGTGTAGAGTGGATAAAATCAGTTTTATGGTGTTTAGATGCGCCTGACAGAGCTTTTATATCCGACCAAACCTTTTTAGGACTAGAGGTAGGCTTTATGTTAGCTGTAAATTTTCCAAACGATTGTCTTTTTGAATTTTTTAATTCCTTTCGAAAAGTGGCATTGGCTTTTTTGTATTGTATTAAGTTGTTGATTGTTCGGTTGTGTTTGTAGGTAGCCCATAACATTTGTTTTCTATTTCTTAACACAGATAACATTTTAGACCAATATGGAAGCTTTGTGGAAAACTGTTTAGTATTAGTTTGGGGAATGGCTAAGTGTGCAGCTGAGAGTATAACAGATTTTATTGTGGATGCTTCCGCGTTTATGTAGCTAGATATAGCTTTTACTACAACAATTTATTATTTGCAACTGGAAAAATATTCTCAAGCAATAAAGAATAGAGCAACACATTCCAAGCCCATTTCTTAAAATCATTGAAAGGTTGAAAACGAACTCCTTTATTTACTCTATTATTTGAAGATATTTGGGGCGGAAAAATAACAGAACAAGCCCCTAATAAATCTCTTTTTCTACAAACTGAAAACCTAACATTTTGTAACAAAAATATAGGTTAATGATTTACTTTCACCTTGATTTCTCACAAAAACTTGTCGTGACTGTAGCTTTTAATTTGACTTTTAGCGAAAATCCTATCTAATTTCTATTGCAAAATCTTAAGACCGATCAAATTAGGGATGTTAATAAATGTCATACTGTCATGATATTCGAAAAGAACCACTTTACATTTTGAGATTTTTTCTTCTAAAAAATATTGGAACTGCTACTTTGTTTTATCTCAATGAATAGCCAAGAATACGAATATTTCAGTAGGACAATGCGGCAATTTATGTAAGTAGGCAAATTAAAAATTGAACGGCCCGGATTTCAATTACCGTGCCCTAGCGGCCGGCATGTTCCCCATACGTCAATTTAAAATCGCCAATTTAATAATTCAGAAGAACTTAAAGCGCCCAAAGTCAAGGAGTCATAGGGGTTGGACTTTGATACTCTAAAAAATGTTTTTCCTTTCGGCGTTTCAAATAAATCGAAAATGAATCCAGTGGCTCTCAAACTGAAAAGAAAATATAAAAGTCTGCAGAAGAAGAGCAAAGTCTTATAGTTTTGCAACACGCGTTTTTTGCACTTTCCTTCCCCTTTTTTAAAGTTGCATAGTTACATCTTTGCGCAACCCTAGATGTTAGTACACAATCTTCATAGACTAAATTTTCTTTAAATTAAACCAATCATACCTGTTACACCCAACAGCTATTATTTGATCGGATTGAACTATATATTTTAAACTACCGTTATTTTTTATTTTGTTGCACAGTTTCACTAATTAATATTTAACAACGAAAAGAAACGAACTAAAGTCATTAAAGAACGGAACAATGCAGACCCAGCTACAGTGCAACGAAAATAAGAAAACTAAAATAGATACAACAAAACAAACATACAACAACAAAACTCGTTACCATACAGCAACAAATAATCGAACTGAAGGAAAGCAAAAGTCGATGTCTTTCGCTATCGGTGGTGCAGCTGGTATGTGGAGCAGGGCAATACGAACATTTGGGGCAGGGCAGGTGGTTGCGCTTGTGGTTTTGTGTGACGTTCAAACTAAATTTATAACATTCGAATCAACACACTGCCGCCACGAATCGCCGCACAGTATGATTTTTTTTTTTTTGTGGTTCACATTCGTGCACATTTCTTTTTAAAAACAATTTTTTCAAAAAATATTTATTGCAATTGGTTGTTACAAGAACAGAATATACTAACTGCTAACTAACTGTAACTGCTCTTATTCGATACTCGAGCTTTTCTCGTACAGCAAACGTTTTTTTGTTTTACACGATAAATAAAAAAATAAAACTTCGGCGGTTTTTTCATTCGAAAACTTCAAAAATTATCAAAAACAACATTTATATTTTTTTCCATTTGAAATTAATAACTAACTAACATGCCAAACAGATTTCTTATATTCAGTACGGTTGTCAGTGAAAATGTCTTCTTTCATTTGATAAATAACAATATTTGTAGAAAATAGAAACAATTTTCTTAAACCAGTTCAATTAAAATTAACTTCTCAATCGCTTTGAAAAAATGTTTTCTTAACGCAATATATTTTATTTAATGAAAAATCATAAACTAAAAGAAAAACATTGAAACTGTTACTTGATCAAAAGTTATTCGTATTGTTCTTTCGGTACCCCGCACTGCTTTCGGTATGCTCACTTATATGTATAATAGGAACTTCAATTTTTATAATTGCCAGGAAGTTTATCTTAAACAATATTAAAGTTTAACTTGAAATATTCATAATTATTTGTATCGGCGTTAGTTCTAAACTAAGACACCTATTTACTTCGGCATGCAAGCGCATAGGCGTCGAAGGGAAAACTCGTGCTCTGGCTGCTGCCAATGTCAAGTTCACTTGGCTAACGAACGACAACGAACGGTGCTACAAACCGACATCCGCGTACATATTTACTAAATGATGTATAAATACTTACTTGCGATGCTTGCACGAATCGGTCAACACACATTCACACACACACCCAGGCAGCGAAAAACTCAGAACAGGCAGAGTGTGTGGGACACTCGTTATGCCACCGATATCACAAGTAGGTGTTTGCTTTGTGCCGAAGCAGTGACATTTGTATTGCCGCTTTGCTGTTAATGTAAGCAATAACTGTTAAATTTCTGTATACATTTAAGTTAAATTTGCAAGTGTTCCGCGTGTGAGAAAGGGGAATTGCTGACGATGATTTGAATTTATTAAATTGCAATTTTTCTAACAAATATTTGTGTAGACTTACATATATTCACGTTGTATTAATTATTTGTATTGGGCTGTGAAACGAAACGTAAGTTTGACGCAATTTTCCAGCAATTGAGAATGCAGTGGAGCAGAGCTAGCGCAGTAAAGTACGATGTAGTGGCGCGTCGGCATGCGAGGCAACGCGTTGCTGATTACCGCGATATTAAGTGAATGTGTAATCGGACAGACTATTAGCCGCAAAATTGCATAAATTACCAAGTTGCAATTTGTTTATTGGACGAACAATCCGGTACGCCAGGAGTGCAACATTTTGTCTATTATACTTATGATTGTTTATGAACATACATACTTCAATACAAATGTGTTTTTACATTATTTAGCGTGCATAATACACTGTGGGAAACTTCACTGTGAATGATTAACATGACGCGTTGAGGCGATTAAACCGTGTTGGTCTGTCTGTTAATAACTCAGTTTTTAAGATATGGGTCTGAAATTTTAAATAAACCGTTTTCTCCCTAAGAAGCTGCTCGTTTCCCATTACCGCCGATATCGGATTACTATATTGTCACACCAATTAAACAATTGTATGGAAAGCATTTGCATTTAACGAGATACCTTTACAAAAGATGTCATAGGGTATAAGCCTAACCTTCTAATAAATTGATCACATCGGTTCAATATAGGACATATCTGTAGTGCACACCGACCAATCAGAATCATGTTTCTGTAAGGAATATTTTGTACTTATTTGTGAAGGTCGGTGCAACGAAATATATTTTTTTTTTTTTTCAAAATGGTTGAATGTTTTTTTCAAAGTTTTCAAGGCGAGTCTTAAATTTTTGACTGTGTATGAAGAAGTATGCGTCTGTATGGAAGCGACCGGTGGAGTGACTTGTAGCTGGGTGACTTGATTCGCCGCAATTGAACGGTCAACAAAGTGGCGTTTATGTCGCGTGAGTCCAGCTAATAAGAACCCGCAGAAAGTGCATACAAAAGTGTGTACATATTGTACTTATGTAAGTACGTCGCTATGTAGGGTGAGTCTGCCATTTGTTTCATTGTTCATCGTTCAATTGTTCGAATTGAATTTGTTTGCCGGTATTGGCTGACGACTCGATTTGCACTTTGGCTACAGCAATTCATAGGCGACTTGCCATTGTTCAAAAACGGCTCGAAGCAATCGGACGTTTAGCGGCAAATGCTATCGGCAACGTTCATAATTATACTGACAGTGTCAAGTTTCTAATGTTACATTGTATGTGTGTTAACACAAGTCCTTTAAGTTTGCTGCGTTCGGTGTGGCAAATATAATTAAGTGAATCTGAAGGATATTAATATCCTGCTACATCCGTTGGACTAGACATGTGCCGCGAAGTAAGGACTTTTTATCACTGAACTTGAACTGTACAATGACATTACATGAAAATATGTTCAAAAAAATAATATAAGGACATAAGTTATAATTGAATGTAAATTAAATATCTAACACGGAACACGGAGAGTTTTTAAAAGTAAAGTGTTTACACTTATCTGATAATCCAAAGAAATTCATGTGCTTTTTAATTCAAATGTGAATTTACTCGTAACCGGTTTTATTATACTACTACGGTCTAGACAGGTTTAAAAGACCAAGTGAAGGTGAATATTAGTTATATTTTAATTTTACTGAAAAGTTTAAGTTTTTAAAGTCATATACACTTAGTTTTTGTATTTCATGATCTAAAATAACAATAAAAAATAAGTTTTTAATATTATATGTAGTATTGCTTATACCCTTATGAATAAAAAATGATATTCCAAAGGGTTGTAAACGAAGTTTCATCATACCATAAAACGGTATTTCTCGAAAAAATGCAGTAAGAGCTCTAGTAAGAGACGCTGAAGCAAGCAAAATTGGAAAAAAAGAGATTTCAAAAAGAGATCCATCTTTTTGTCGTACTGGCGATAACATCACGGTTTCTTATTAAATCTTTCCAGCAGAAGTAGACTTCCAAATCTTGCCAAAGGACTGCAAATTAGATTTAATTATGCACATACATATGTATATACAAATGTACATACTTAAGCATACGTTTAAATGTTAATTTATTTATTATCGCATTAAGAATGCTGTTATCTCGAGTCTTGATTAAGAGTTTAAAAGTTAAACAAAACAAGCAGTTTGAACCACATACTCAAGACTCTACTTTTATAAAATGGAATTGGATTGAATTTGATAATAATAACAAAGATTTTCCATTTAAATTAAACATTTTATTTTGTGACCTCTTATTAATTCTCACTGTGTGATTTTTCGTACTTAACGATCCAATCTCATCGTTGCAATAGAATATATTTAAGTACCGTTTGATCTAATGTTAATTAACATATTCTCGCTTAATTTTATTGAGCTATCTGCTATTTAGATGTATCCGATATGAACTCAAATAAAGGAACGAAATAATTGCTATGTTGAGTATATTGAGGGCAGAAGAAGGTCCAATCTTACTACATTTTGTTATAACATTCAACTATGCTTGAGGACGTTGACCGTTTTATATTTGGCGTATACGGGTGTATGGTATGCAGTCAACCAAAAGTTGAGAAAATGTTATATTATGGAAAGTATTGAACTGATTTTATCCATTTCTAGCAGCAAAAGCCATTATTTTCAGAAAGAGATATCATCTTTTTTACAACACAACCCTCGCTAAATTCCAATACTCTTGACATTTCCTTTTCAAACCCTGAACAAGATATATTGCCTCGAAGTTTGTAACACCCAAAAGGCCGTGGATGGCTGTACAAAGTTTATGCATAAATAATCAGTCTAACAAGCCAAGCCATTCGTCTGCATATATCAACAGACAAAATCTGACCTCTTTAGCATATAGTTACCATACAAACTGAAGGATGGGAATCTAGTTCTTGTAATTGGCAAGGTATCTTCAAGAAAGTCGGTATAGATTAATATGTTATTACATTACGGACGACTATTGCATATAATTGACATGTCTTGACTGTTCGATCAAAATCAAGTCCTTAGATGGGAAACTTTTTTATTTGTCAAGGTATCGTCATGAAATTTGACAGTCTATCATTATCTGTTGTATATAATCTGCGAAAATATTGTTCAGTTCGGACCACTATATTATTCAGCTGTCAGGCTCTGACCGATCAAAATGCAGATATGTACATTTCTTTTTAAACGCTTACTTTATACACTCATAGATGCATGCATAGTTTATTACGGGGCACAGAACTTGTCACAAGGCATCACAAAATCATAAAATTATAAATTTTTACGTTTGTTTAAAAAAAATGTTGTTGGATTACATACAAAAATGGCATTACGCAATTACAATTCTCAACGCTAGGTTATCGCTTCGTTACAACTTATAACTTTATGAGTTATATATTTTTTGCTTTAAACATTTAAATGGTTATGCGTTTTAAGAATGCTCTCGAAACTTGAGTAGCCTTAAAGTTGAAGAACTTGCGATTGAATAACGTTGATAGTGCAAAGTACATATTGTGGACAAGTACAATATTGATTTTTTCGCATTATTCCATTCAATTGACTTTACGTTTTCCGATCAAAGTACCCGGCCATCAAAGAATAACGAGAGCCGTCAAAAAAATATTAATGAGTCGAGTTCAGTTACAACATTTACCGTTTTCGTTGAAGACTGCCTACTGCAAAGTGTTTAAAAATTTCTTAGTTTCTTACTTCGAATTGCCCCTTCTTATTTACTTTATAAAAACGAGTTAATTTTACTTTTATTACAACAAGTAACCATGATATCAAAGATAATGATTATATTTATTAAATCCGTTAAAAAAATATATATATAATCAAAGAATAAGGTACATGCAATAGAAGTGTTGATTAAGTGTTTATTAAATCTCCAACTTATGACTTATACTTATTTATCAACTTCCCTAGTTGTATGTGTGTTTGAAACTTTTCTCAGTACTTCTGTAATTTCAAGTCTTGCTCCGAAGAAGTTTCTTCAGTATCTCTTTATACCCTTAGACAATGGGTAAACTGGTAAACCACTCCCCATATGATGATATTGTCCAATTTTAACCAAATTTGTGGTGAGAGGTTACCCAGCCATTTCTCTCACACACTATGAAAATCGGACAACAACTACGTCAACTTTCCAACTCCAGTGCATTTGCCTGATTTTATAACTCTTTTTTTAGCTTCTCCTGTATGTTTGTACGGAATGAGTATGGCGCTGAAAAAGGAATTTCAAATACCCCTAAAAAAATATTTTAGCACATTAAACTTATAAGTGAAAATAAATATGGTTAAAAAAATAAATAAAAAGCAATGTACACTAAAAATAGAAAAATAATTATTATATCACCTAATAACAATAATTGACGAAAAATACTCTTATTACGCCATATTTTGCGCATATAGGGCACATGGGTTTCTCAGCGTACCTTTCGTTTATTATTGTTGTCTGGCAATATCAGTAATTATTTTTCACTGAAATATTTTTCAATTTTTGATTGATGTGCTTTTAGTTTATTTTTAACTATATTTATTTTAAATTTTTGTTCTCTTTTATTCAAGAAATTATTGAATTAAAGAATAATGAGTAATATTTTTATACGAAATTGTAAACTTCAGATACTCTCTTCAGACGAAAATATGAGATAATTTCGAAGTTACCTCATTACTTTTTACGTGCAAAAACTGACATATTTGTTCCACGAGAAAGCGATCAACGAAACAAAAAAACAAATAACTTTTAACTAGTTAGTCTAGCGTACATGGATACAAATATTCTAAACGTAATTATACATATGTAGGTATATAACATATTTACATTATAACCTACCTACTTATGACTACTTATAGATCAGTTCGGTTATGCAATTACAAAGTTGTAATCATGAAAAGAAGCAGCAGTTAGCTAGCGATTAGTTTTATATATATGTAGTAGGCATTTTTATTTCTTTGTGAACACTTGAAAATTGTTTATTTTATTTGAAAAAAAGTTACCTGAAAATTTTACCCAGTAAATTAGATTTTATTTTTGAAAAACATAGTAGCTCTTGTCGAAAATCTTTCCAAGGAAAAGTTGTGGGAAATTAAACTTCGGACAAACAAGATCTATCCAGTCAGACATAAAAATTATAAGTTTATAGAAAGTCATTGAAAGAGGATTTAAATGCAAAAACTTCATCGAAACCTTTATACTACTTTTACTCTTGCGTCATGTTGCTACAGAGTATAATAATTTTGTCCACCAAACAGTTCTCCATATCACCTAAAACTAAGCTTATATACATACATATATGTAAACATACATATATAAATGTTGAAATAGATGTGGCTCCGCCCTCTAATAAGTTTAATGTACATATCTCCATAACCACTAAAGTTACAACAACCAAATTTGCCCAGCACAAATACTATAAGAACTCAATATAATTAATAATCGAATAGAAATATAACATTGCCCAATCGAATATAACGGTACTGCTAAAAACTGCAAAAAGTGCGATATACCAATGACTAAATATGCCAGAGACATAACATTTTAGAACCTAGATGGTGTGATAGAGTTGTATGAGACCCGGGGTAAAATTTGGATCATGGGCATGGTACCGCGCACTTTTATGTGAAATTCCTTATCTCGGGACTCCCCTGACCTGATGTTTTTCTTCTTTATTGGCGTAGACACCGTTTCTTCTTTTCGCAATGTGGCGCTAATTAAAGATTCCACGATTAAGCAGATACTTCTTCGAATACTTTCAGTGCTGAAGTTTTTTCGTCCATTCAGCTTCTTAATTCGCTGAACCAAATCAATGTCATCGTATACCTCATACAGCTCATCGTTTCATCGAATGCGATATTCGCATTTTCGCCGTGTCCAACACGCAAAGGGCCCTAAATCTTTCGCAAAACCTTTCTCTTGAAAACTTGTATCGTCGATTCATCAGATGTTGTCATCGTTAATCGAGAGAGGACGTTACTTCTCAATTGCCTACTCAATCCGAAGTACCACGTGTGGCAAAAGTTATTCGGCGTTAGATTTCGAGCCTGAGATTATTGTTGATGTTAATACTGGTACCAAGATAGGCGAAATTATCTACAACTTGGAAATTATGACTGCCAACACAGTGACCTGGAAACCTAGTCGGAAGTGCGATGACTTTTTTTGGTAATCGTTCATTACCAGACCCATTTGATTCGCTTCCTTATCCATTCTGAAGAAAGCAAATTTAAAGGCGCGGGGTTGAGGCAAATGATATTAACAACATCGGCGTACGGCAGTAGCTGTACACTCTTATAGAAAATTTTACCAGTAGATTGAAGAAGGCGCACGAAAGGGAGTCGTCTTGTCAGAAACCTGGTTTGGTATCGAACGGCTCAGACAGGACCGGATCCTTACGGAGCTTTTGGTAATGCTCAATGTCAGTTTACTTAGCGGTATTAGTTTTTCGATTCCCTTTTCAAGAGTCTTTTCCAATATTTGGCGCATTTTGAATATCTGGTCGGTTGTTGGTTTTCCGGGTCTTAAGCCACACTGAAAAGGTCCGATCTGTTTATTGACGGTTTGATTTAATCTCTCACACAAGACTTATCCCACGGTAGTTGGCGCAAATTGTGCGCTCTTCCTTTTTGTGGATTGGGC